ACTAAGCCCATTCCTAGACAATCAACTCAAATATTCTTCATTATTCATAAATTCAACATTAACTCAACTTACATTTGTTCTCCAAATATTCAAGAGACAAGGGTTTCACACCAATGGCCCAACCAATGGATTTTCCTTTAACAAAGTGTCCTCAAACACCTCTCTACATCATACAAATCAATGAAACAACATCAAAATCTCTCCCAACACTACAAAATTTGCGGGACACTAATCATCATCTTCTACATTTTTGAAATTTCTATTTAAACTAGTTTTAAGGAGTGGCAACTTACCCCAAAATGACACAAAACCAAGGGATGAACATTTTCTAAGCTCCCACAGTGCGAAATGCCCTCAAACTCCACCAATCTCCAAGAAACTCGAAATCTTTAGGGGAAAAGATCTCTCTCCACAAGGCTTCCCACTCAAAACTAAGATAGGATTTGTGATAGGGAGAGGATTCTCTACGTCTTTGGCTTTGGAACAGATGAATTTCGTTGAGAGGTGAGAAAGTTAGGGTTTTAAGCTTCCAACAATGGTTTTCTCTCTTTCTTTCCCTGATGCCACGAAGAAGAAGAAGCAAATGAGGGAGAATTGTCATGTTTTATCACTTAACATATGGTAGGTTATTTTAACTGGGTAAAACTTATCTCTCTAGTTACCTCAACTCACTTTCCAACTTTACCCATTGGTTTAAAATATTTTTACAGTCATATTTCTAACTTTACTTTTACATTCCGGATAATTTTGCATGCACACATTTTTACCCCAAAAATTTCACTAACTACACTTTTTACTCGAAAGTGACCCTAATTTATTTATTTAAGCCTTTTACTTAATTCAATCCAATAATGCATGATTAATTACTTAATCACATGCAATTTTCTAATTAAACAGGTTAGCGATATTATATATTGAAAGCCTGATAACTTATCCTAAGGGGGAGGTTTGAGTTAGAAGGTGATATGATAGGATAGGATAGTAAAAATCTAATTTTTAGAGTAAATACCCTTTTTGGTCCTCAACAAATTTCACGATGTCCGCTTTAATCCCTAGCAAATAAAAAGGTCCATCGTGATCCTTAAGAAATTCAAAATGGACCCATTTAGTTGAAATCGTGGTCCCTCACAAATTCAAAAAAAGACCCATAGTCCCTCAAAAGGACTAAAATGGGTCTATTTTGAACTTCTTAGGGACCACGATGGGCCTTTTTATTTGCTAGGGACTAAAGCGGGCATCGTGAAATGTGCTGAGGACCAAAAATGGTATTTACTCTAATTTTTATTTTCCACGATGCAACGTGAGAAATCCCTCTTCCTCTACCATTGATTATGCCTCTCAACCCCCAAATCAAATATAGAGTTCAAAGCTTAGCCACAACACCCCTAAACATTTTCCCTTATGAAATGCCCCCTCATAAACGTCTTTATTTCCATACACCTGAACCCATCACCCTGAGGTAGCATGACCCGATGGTCTAGAACTCCGGGAGCGGCGACAAGAGATAAAAGAGGAGCATTTTAGTTTGATAGGAAATGAGCGAATGGAAAAGTGGAAGGAAGAAGCAAGGTTGAGAGAGAAGAGAAGAGCTAAGGCAGAGAAAAAGTCTGATAGGAAGAAATGTGAGAGGTAACCAAAAAGAAAGATTTAGTTGAACCAACAACAAACCCAGAAAACTATTCTTCACCTAGTAAGTGGAAAACCTTGCAGGAGGAAGTCAACGACTGGATATCTGATGACCTTTGCAGGAGGAGCTATATCCTGGCAATCAAAATTGCAGAAGTGTGTGGAACTTTCGACAACCGAGGCCGAGTACATAGCCGCGACAGAGGCTTGCAAAGAAATGTTATGGATGAAGAAGTTTCTCTCTAAATTAGGCCATGATCAAGACAAGTACGAGCTGAAGTGTGACAACCAAAGCACAATTTATCTTACGAAGAACTCGACCTATCACTCCTGCACTAAGCACATTGACGTGAGGTATCACTGGATCAGGGATGTCATGGAGGATGCACAACTCACACTTCGCAAAATGCACACCGACCTGAATTGGTCTGATATGATGACAAAGTCGGTACCAGCAAGAAAATTCGAAAACTTCTGTGAAGGTGTCGGACTGATGCCGATCCCGACGCATTGAAGTCGAGAGGGGAAGGTTTGTTGGGAGTTGTTCCTTCTTCAATGTTTGGCTCAAGTCCCAAGAGGTTGGAACTCTCTATTTTTTGGTGCAAGGCTCATGTGACACATCCTTTGAGTGGTTCAATCCCTCTCTTATATAAGCTTGTAGTGTGTGAGGTTTAAAAATACGAGAAAAAGAATTTTGAATACCTCTAAAGAGAAGTTTGAAGTAAGATACCTCTTTAGGGAAGTTTGAGATTACCACCATTGTAGGTGAAGTTTGATTGTACCTCTAGTGAAAGACTGGGAAGTTTGACAGTTGTAACCCATTATTCTTATAGTGAAAGTTTGATTCTAGACTAGTGTCTTGTGGATTTTTTACTTCTTCACATTGGAGAAGGTTTTTCCATGTTAAACAAATTAACTGTGTTCTTCTCCATCTCTCTCCTCTTGCATTTTACTGTTTCGCTTCCGCAATTGACTTGAGGGTCCGACTTGACCCAACAGCTGGGCGCTGATTACTTGTCTTATCCAATAGCTGACCCAAACTGATCACCTCATCAGGTCAGGCCAAGATTCACAACACTAGGTAGAAGTGGCTGGTGGTAAGTGAAGATGATGGTGGTGGCTGGTCGATGGCAAGAGTTGACTCTCACATGTCCAACAAAGTTTATTTGAGAAAAACATTTGGCTATATTTGAGGGGATAGGATATTGTGACAACCAAGACATGTTACACCCATGTGACAACCAGTCAATCTCACCGTTAAATTAGGTTTTTGATCTAACGATCCAGATTTAATCCTTATATACACCCTCACTTCCCCTTCTCTCTCCCCTTTCTCTCTGATCATACTCTCTCTTTTCCCTTCTCTCTCATCACAATCTCGCTCTTCCCTTCTCTCTCATCATACTATCTACAGCGCCGCCGCCGCGCACTCCACCACCGCCGCCGCGCCTCCCCCCTCTAATTCACCGCCGTCACCACAGGAGGAAGGAGAATGTTCCCCCAGAGCAAAATACAAGCGTGCTCTTGAATTCTTCACCTTGCAACGAATCAAATGTCCTTCAGTCCAAACCCCTATTGCCAGAAATTGCAGTTGATTCTAGTCTGTCAAATTGGTTGATTACTCCTAATTATAATGTCTCCAAGATCACAATTCATTAATATCCTATCCCATCACAATTCAAATTGCGTTAGATCACAATGGTTGATTACTCCTAATTAGAGAGAAGGGAAGAGAGAGATTGTGATGAGAGAGAAGGGGAAGTGAGGGTGTATATAAGGATTAAATCTGGATCATTAGATCAAAAACCTAATTTAACGGTGAGATTGACTGGTTGTCACATGGGTGTAACATGTCTTGGTTGTCACAATATCCTATCTCATATTTGAGATGAGAGAAATATGGCATTTGCTATCCTATTGTCTCCATTCCTAAAAAAAGTATCCTTTAGGATAGATTATATTTTGCAGTCAAGATAAATTGAGTCAAAATAATAAGCTTCTCATAGCTTGTTAGTTCATTAAATAATGGATAAGAACATGTATGACAATTTATTCTATTGCGTTCTGTCTATGTTGACCACCAAGGACCCTAAAGTCATTCATCTAAAATTCATAAATTATAAAATAAAAAAGGTTAATAAATATAAAATATAATAAATAAAATTAAATAAAATGAAAAGATTATCGATGAAAGTAAAAGAAACGGAGAGTAAAAATAAAATAAAATAATATTAATTATGATTATTTATATTGTTTAAAATATGATAGTATTGAATAAAATCTGATAATATTGAATAAAATCTGATAAAATATACTTTATCTAATAATTCTCTTTTTCTTTTTCTTTTTCTTCATTTGAAATATACGATACGATGAAGCTAAGTTATTATTTATAAATTTTTTTACCATTTCATTTATTTTTCAAATAATATAATCAAATTTTTCTTTCGAAAAGAGGAAAAAAAACTAAGTTGTTAGTCATGAAATAACAGAAGTCTGTATAACCTCAAGGAAAAAAAATACCACTAGAACTTCTTATTTCATTAAAAAATAGGTTCATTCTTTCGCAAGATAAGTTATCTGCAGTAAGCTCAATATGATGTCATTTTAGAGCAAAAATTATGGTATTTTTGTAATTTTAATTTATTTCAGAGTTATAATAATTTTTATATTTATAATTTTTTAAGATTTTAATATCAAAACGATGTTATTTTGGAAATAAATGTATATAACTTAGGGGAAGGATATTGTGACAACCAAGTTGTGTTACTACCAAGTGACTACCAATTAATCTCACCGTTAGATCGATTATGTTGATCCAACGGTTATATTTATTTCCATCTTTGTATGGTCATAGTTTCCCAAATTTAATACTTTATATTTATTTCCACCTTTGTATGGTTATGATTTCTCATATTTAATGATTTCACTTTAAATATGGGAAACCATGACCATACAAAGATGGAAATAAATATAAACGTTGGATCAACATAATTGATCTAACGGTGAGATTAAATTGTAGTCACTTAGTAGTAACACAACTTAGTTGTTACAATATCCTTCCCTGTAACTTATGGGTTTAAATTATCTTATGTTGACGAAGATAATTCTCTTACGTAAGTGAGACATAAAAAATCATGCTATCTCTTCTTTTCTTCTTTTTGATTTTTTAGAAAATAATAAGAGTCACATGATTTGTTTCTATAACATAAAGTAATTCATCTCGTAGGTGAGGAGATTAATAAATCCCATAACTTATATGCAAAATAACTGTACAAATGTTTTTTCGTCTATAAAAAAAAAAATAACTGTACAGATATTTTTCCCTTAGAAAAAATGAAAAACAGCAAAACTTGAAGTTACAGCAACTAAGGAAACATATATAAATTCTGGCAAGAAAGCGTTCCCAAATTCCGCAATCCACAATTCCACATAACAACAGAAAGGACAGTAGCAGCGGCCGGCAACGATGGAGGAGAAAGCAACCTCAGTTGGAGAAATCGAGGAAGTGGAGTCAACACCCGATGTTGGGACCCACAACGAGAGCGAAACCTCGAGGCACGTGCGTACGAAGGTGCCTGAGGTGGAGATCCACTTGTTCCGTGAAGGGAAAGGACCCGTTACGGTGTTCAAAACGACGTTGGGAGGTTGGGAACAGGACCAGCTGGAGGTCCGTGACATCCTCGAAAAATACGGCCTCAAAACAATCTTCGCGTTCAATCCTGAGAACAGTGGTCGCGGTGTTCCGGTCCGGTTCAACCCAAGAAACGGAAGGTCCCTCTTGACTTATGGGGATGGTGCTGTTGTTTACCTTGATGGAGAACCTAAGGTCTGTTTTTATTTTTTTTCTTGATCTTAATGCTTTTTTTCTTCTTATTAAAATACTTATTTATATAAATAATTTTTATTACTTTATGATGTAAAGTATTTATCTTTTGATACATTATGGTCATGGAATCGTGTAATTATCCTCTTGTGTGAATACAACGTAATGCTATTTACTACTCTGCGCATGGCTAGAGTTTTGTAGAACTATGTTGTCCCTTCAAAAGGGGAGCCTTCACATATCTGTTAAGAGTTGTTGTAGGTCACAAGTTCGATTCATGTAATTAGTCTATGCACATACTAGCAGGAGTTTTGTGGCACTTGGCTTTTAATAGTTTCTATTTAAAATCAAATAGCCACTCGTTAACAAAACCAAAACCCACCCCCCATTAGACCCCGGATGGCAACGGTGGGATGAGAACAATTCTTGTATGCAGCCTTACTATTACATATTTACATTTCAGATTTGAATATGTGACCTTTTAGTAGGAGGAGCAACTTTACCACTGGCCCAAGCTCGCCCTCTTGTTAACAAAACATTTTTTCTTTTTACCCTCCTTTCTTAACAGTGTTGTCTTGTTTTGGTTGGTTATGTGTATGTTTGTTTGTGTTCTGAGCTAGAAAAAACTAGGGAGAAGGGAGAGCGGAAAAATAAGATATTTTTTTTTTGAATGGGTTGAGTTTCTGTTATTTTAGGCTTGGCAATGGCTAAGTGTGTGCAACTGAAGTGTTTTAAATGAGTCGGTTTTTGGGATTTGAGATTTTCTTTGGTTACCAAGATGATGGGGGAATTTAATGGTTTGAGTTAAATTGTTTGTTGTAATAGGAAGGAAATAATGCTCTTTCTGGTGTTTAATGAAGCTAAAAGGTTTTAGTGTATAGATTAGGGAGGAAAATATTCTATTTAGGTACTATTTATGCTTCCCATGTTATAGATAAGAAAAGAATGTGCAATTAGTTTGTCAATATTCTGTCAAAAAATTACTAATGGGGGTGGTATAAAGAAAACCCCAGATTATGTTTGGATGCAAGGAGAAATTTCATTGGTGATGAATTGAATTGGCTGCCAGTATAAGATGAATACCAAACTCTGTGGTTTAACGACACTCTAAAATGTTTTAGTCTATATGTCAAGGAGGAGAACATTTTCTAAAATTTGTGTCTCTTGTTATGGATAAGAGTATCCAATTAGTTTGGTTCTTGAGTCTTGAGCATTATACTGCTTAATGTTATCTTTTGGAGTGATAGAGAAGAATGTTAAAACACTGCAATTGTTGATGTATGGCTCAGGGGCTTTTTACCAGAGGCATCATTAAACAATATTGCATATAAGTTAGCCAGGGATGTTCCTATAATATTTGAGAGCTGGAAAATATTTCATTTTTTAGAGGTCGTGGTGACTAAATGTTTCTTGTTTATTCTTCTTGTTGACAGTTTATTAAAGATGCATTTATATTTGCTTCATATAAAAAACAAACTGAGCACTTCTTGAGCTGTCTAGAAGATTTAAATATGCATAACCATATAATCCCTGGAAACAATGTAACTGTTGTCTCAAAAGTTATTTCTTGACGGGCTTAGAGGAAGGGACAAGTGTTCAATAAATCCATTTAATTGAAAATTAAAGTAGAAAATTATCAGCTTTTCCAAACAACCTTGGGGCAATCCTTTTCTATTAATTTTTCAAGTTTTGGGAGGGATTGAGAAGTATGGCTGTTTAAAAATTTGCTTTGTACACTAGGATGTTGTGTAAATAGCTTGAAATTGTTTTGAGTTTTTAATAAGCACCTCTTATCCTAACAACTGCTAAGGGATTGAGTTACTTTGTTTGAGTTTTAGCCAGTTGCCCTTTTAGAGCCATTTCTTCATTAAATGTGCTAAATATTTTGGAGAAATCATAAATTTCCTAGTTGTAAAATTAAATCTTTATGAGGTTTATGCTGCATTGCTGTGAGTATTTTTATGGATGTTATGGTAGAAAATAAGTTTGTCCATTCTCTCTTCATCAAATTTATCATGCTTTTTACTTAACTTTCTTGACAGCTTTTTTTTTCAGACTTTCAGTGCAACAAGGCTTTTAGGTTGCAGCCTTCAAGCATCATTTAATGCCTAGAGAAAAATTTGAGAAATACATACAATCTTGAAGGACATCTCACTGAACCAGTGATATGCATCTTTTAGGAACCCTTTCACTAGAGTGTACTCTAAGAACGGGTGTAGGGGATACATTCCCTCCCAAAGCAGGAGTGTCCCTCCTCTCTTGCAGGGGAAAGTAGTTATGACTGCTGGAAGGGGGGGGGGGGGGGGGGGATTAAAGGAGAAGGGGACAGTTAGAAGAGAGTTTGGGGAGGAGAGATATGCCTCTCAAAAACATGATATCTTTTTCTTTTCTATTTTAACTATAATTTTTTTCACATCAGCTACTCAGTGAACCTAACAAAAATTGTTAAATGTCTTCGATTCCTTGTTAATTTCTGTTTGGGTTTTATCAAGTGTTATTAGAACTCCCGATCTGGGAGCTATAAAATGGCCCACACCCGCAAGATGGAGGCCTATATGAACGCATTGGAGAAGAGTTTCATGCAATGGCAGGAGAAGATCAATCTGTGGAAGGAACATGAAGAACAAGCTCACTTGAGGAGAACAATAGAGATATTGAGTCTCTTTCGAGCAAGACTCGGGGGAAGTATCTGAAGAGAAATGGAAGGAGAAATGAGTGAGGAGGACTGGGATCCACAGCGTCTTGTTCAGAATTTGTGGAGGCCATGCATTTTGAACATTTCCGAGACTCGCAAATGACAAAGGACAAAGGTTGAAGATTTCAACATTTCTTGACGCAGATGATGTGAACGGATGCTTAAATCCGATAGAGCGGTATTTTTGTGAGAATGCGAAGTTGGAGTAGAGTGGGTGGCGAATGTGCTGATGGCTTTGGAGGGATGCACTTTGAACTGGTACTAATGGTGGATGGGTTGGATGAAGAATGCTACTTGGGAGCTGTTTCGAGCAACTGTGTTTTTACACTTCGTGCCATCCATGAAGGATACTCTAATGTAGGCGGCCGCCACTTACAGCTGAGGAGGATAGCCCATCAACTGATCAAATGAAGAGACCAAAACTGTAAAAGGAGAAGCACAAGAGACAAAAGCTTGCTGATGCTGATCTGAATCTAAATTCAATTGCAATCTGAATAACTCAAACAATGGAAACAAACTCACTGCACCCATGAAACCAAACCCAAACCTAAATTTGATCCAAATCTCAGACTTGAAATTGAACCCATTCCTAGATCCAAACCCAAACCTGAAACCGAACCCTGCACCCTACCCTCAAGACAAGGATGGACTTGGGAGAGACTTCAAGAGTTTCAATGCAAATGGAGACTGCCAAATCTCGGTTGACGAGCTCAGTGGATTTCTTTCAAACACCTAGATCCAGCATGTTGCTAGAGGAGCCCCTATAGTCATGGACGAGCTCGACACTAATCGTGACAGCTTCGTCCGCCTTCTAGAGTTTGCCTTTTTCTCGTACTCTGAAATGCTAGATGGCCAAGCCACCGAACCCCGCAACCCTTTCTATCTATACGACCACAACGGAAACAACCTCGTATATGTGGCCGAGCACCACCTAGAGCTGAATCACCATGGGTTTCAGCAGATCTGTAATATCGGGTCTTGCTTGTCAATTCCTTTCTTGGATTCATCAATTAATAGACCTGTTGACGCATCATAAGCACTAGACACATTTGCTATTTTGTCTAGGATAAAGCTATTGAAATAATGTCTCAATTATGCAAGGCACCTTTCTCCACTGACGTCCATGGAAGAATCTATTGAAGCTTTTGAGCCTCTGTGCATCTATCCTCAAATTGAGCAGTGGAGTGATAAACTTAGGTAATGATTTTCTCTAGTTTTGCTTGATCCTTCAATAAACGAGATCGTGACATGTCACATTCAGGTTATGCAGGCAGCTGCTAAGCTTGGTATTATGATAGGATTCGGCAAAATATCAGAGTAAAACACAACTAAACACCAACAAATGGCCTAGAGAACTGTATTTTCTTTGATATATCAGTAAGTGAAAGTACAAATTATAGAGATAATTCAGAAGTAATGGAAGAAGAAAGGAAAAATACAAGAAAAGCTAAAATGTTTTCTGGAGCAATTTGAGAGGCTTCAGATTTCTCTCCTAATCTGGTTTCCTAGCCCAAATATGTCCAAATTCCCAATGCCCCTCTACATGAGCCTTACTGCTAATATATAACAAACTCTCCTAACATACTTGCACAACGTTCTCACCTAGTCCATGTTAGCATCCACTTTCTACTTTTAACAGATGTATCATCTGGAATATTCTTTGCAATAGCTGAGTCAGCAAATAGGGGTTGTATCAATACCTCCCCCTTTAAGCACCTTGTCCTCAAGGTGTAGTTTAGCCAACGAAGACCCTCCCCTGGGTCCCATGCCTAAAATACAAGGGCCAACTTATGCCCACAACGTAAGAATAACCACCAAGATCCCTTGTCCTTCCAAATACAGCATTTATGAAAACACCACAGATATTGCTAATCATAGTCCTGTCAAATTCGACCCAAAGAAAAGGTGGATTTTCCATGTTTGCTTCAGCCCGCGGTTCTAGTTTTGCCACGAGTTGTTCTCGTTTTTGAACATTACAAAACCAGTGGCGAACCTCAAAGCAGCCTGATAAGGACCAACCAATTAATCAATGTAAAACAGAGCTTACTCAAGAACTCAGATCTGAATATTCCTCATTCATATATTTCATAGCAACAATTACAAACAGAAACGTCATAACAGTAAAGTTGTAATGTGAAAGAAATTACAGAATCCAAATGAGAATAACAATGCAAAAAAGGTAAAGATAATGTGAAACACATATGAGAGGTTCCACTCTCTCACAATCCCCAAAGGGCCCAAGTTTCTTCAGATTTCCCAGATATCCCCTTTCCTTGATGCCTTCCTTCTATATAACAAACTCAATGACACTCACGCTCTATCTGTTGGAGGGCATTCTAGTCAATATCTCCACTTGTTACAGCATTGCCAATTGGGTCATTTATTACATTTGAGGCCCAAATCAGGGTGGGTCCGTATCAATACTCCCCCCCTAACAATCACCTTGTCCTCAAGGTGATGTTAATTTTCCGGGATCCCATTGTTTGAATTGTAAGGCCCTAAATTCGTGACCAACTAGATAATTCATGCTTGTAGTTGTATAGCTCCCACCAGGGTCCCATTGCTCATCTTCCATTTCCATCATTGACACACTTAAATTTTGTGTGGAAACTAGATCAGCATGATAAAATAAATCAGACAAAGTAACATCTCCATAGCTAAGGAATGACCCATTCTCTTCACTGCCCCAGCCTTTGGTGCCCAGGATGCCTATAATGAATTGGGCCCTCAGATGACTAAGGAAAGACCCATTGCTTCCCACCTCCCCAACAGTGCCCTTGGGTTTAGCTTCAAGCCTGTGGTTTGAGGTGAGCCTTGAAAAAATATCCACAGACCATTTCAGAGCCTTCTCCGCTTCTATTCCATCAGGCTTCGCGGGCGTTACCAACACGTCCTCGTTCTTCGCCCCTTCTACCTTGTCATCGTCGTCGACCAGTAACAATTGGAGTTGGGGTACCTGAAAAATTTGCAGACAGGACTCCAGTTTTCGGTCCAAACAAAAAACGAACATTGGGTCAGGTTCAACCCAACCTCTCAAATGGAAAAATTGATCTGATAGGTTACGATGGTTGTGGTCGAACACCCCCCATCCACTGTGAAACATGCAGCCTCGCGATTCCTTCAAATTCATTGTTGCTACCGTTGAAGCACGAGGCATGGTGCACGTGGCCAAAGAAACACCCTCATTGGCGCATTCCTTGATGGAGTAGTTTATATCCTTGGGCCCTATCTTCAACATGTATTTTTTTGGCCCACCTAGATTAGATGGACTCACGGACCCAGAATCCCACCTTCGCCAGGCTTCACACAAAACAGAGGCTTTATTTAGCTGGGTTTGGAGTGATTTGACTACAATTTCAATATGACCCATCGAGTTAATAATTTGACCCGGTTCCCCTCCCAATTTCTCACCCGTCCGACTGTACCCCAAGCTTTCCTCTTGATCAAGATGGCTCAGGATCTGAGGTTCAAGTGATGGCAGTGGGTTGACCATCTTCTCTGACGACGGTAGTGTTGCCAATATGCATGCACCTATCATCTCATCATCTTTTCCCGCGACGATTTCTGGTCCTAGGTAATCTTCCATAGCTTCCATCTCATCACTCTCCTTTGCATCAATCGCATTTTCGGAATCTGTTGCTTCTGTAACCGCATTCGACCCTTCTCCTCCGTCGTTCCCTTTTCTCTCTTCCTCGTCGTCCATGTCCACCACCAAAGGATGCAGTTGCCGGACCCGGCATCTGTGGTTGGGACACCAGCACTCATCGGACTTGAAGCACAGCCCACATGGCTGTCGATCATGGAACTCAGCCTGGGAAAACTGTCGCCCTTGGCCGGAGAGCCCCTCATGCGTTTGGTTTCCCACCATCGAAGCTGACGTCTTCGCCGTGGGCCCTTCCTTGGTGTTTTCGTTTACCCCAAACTTTGTGGTTGTCGAACTCGTGTTAGGGTTGCCTTTGTTTGCAAAGGAATTACGATTTGGGCCATTTGAAAACGACTGGCCCATTTGATTTGTTCCCCAACCTCTGTGTTCATTTGGGCCTGAGCCAGCTCGCGAGCCCACAGACCGGTTAGTACCTTGAGCCCAATTCTTTGCCATCGGCCCCCAGCCTTCGTCCCTCCAAGCCGTGTTCCTTTTTTCGATTTTGAGCGAAAACTTCATCGTCTCCGACAAACTAAGATGGGGATACATCAGAAGTTCCTCCCTGATATTGTTGCGCACTCCGTTCAGCCATGCTTCCTTGAGTAAGTCTTCATCCTCTAAACGAAGAGCTCCCACCATTTTTTTGAATTCCGCTCGAAATTCAGAAATACTCCCCCATTGTTTGTGCGAGTACAGAGCTCTGTACGAGCAATCTAGATCCAATGCGTTGAACCTTCCTCCCTTCCTTTCTCCGTTAGCATCTGAACTGTTGTCGTCCGGATCTTCTTCTCCTCTACGATAACGTCTCCTCCTTCTCCCCGCCATCTCGTCCAACCTCCGAATGATTTCAGTCAATCCCAACTCACTCGCTTCCAGCCTTTGAATCACTTCCTCGTGTCTTGCTTCGTCCTTGCGCAACTCTTCTTCTAAATTTTCCAATCGACTTTCCATTCTTCTGGTAGTAACCATCCCACAGAGCTCCTAGATCGGAGCTCTGATACCAATTGATAAGGACCAACCAATTAATCAATGTAAAACAGAGCTTACTCAAGAACTCAAATCTGAATATTCCTCATTCATATATTTCATAGCAACAATTACAAACAGAAACGTCATAACAGTAAAGTTGTAATGTGAAAGAAATTACAGAATCCAAATGAGAATAACAATGCAAAAAAGGTAAAGATAATGTGAAACACATATGAGAGGTTCCACTCTCTCCCAATCCCCAAAGGGCCCAAGTTTCTTCAGATTTCCCAGATATCCCCTTTCCTTGATGCCTTCCTTCTATATAACAAACTCAATGACACTCACGCTCTATCTGTTGGAGGGCATTCTAGTCAATATCTCCACTTGTTACAGCATTGCCAATTGGGTCATTTATTACATTTGAGGCCCAAATCAGGGTGGGTCCGTATCACAGCCCCAGGGTTTCCATCGGCCGCTGCCGTCGAGATGGATGACAAGCCATTCACCTAGATCTATCTGGATGACTTACTGCAATCTTGGTGGGAAGCCGAATAAAGCAACCTCAGAAGTAGCTATATCTAACTTTTTCGTCCATTTACAATTCGCTTTTGCACTCAGCGACAAGCTTTCATCGGCACCCATGTCTTCCCAAGCATTCTGTGTCGTCTTTGACAGCTTTCCTATTATGTGATTGTTGAACCCTACTCCCTCTAGTGTTAATTCTACAAATCTCTTGGGTTCAAACAGGCCCATAGTTTCACAAGCCCAAATCTGGTGCAATAAGGAGATCACACTGTCCTATTTTGGTTTTGGATTAGGAGTTGTTGATAAAGAATTTGGGCTGGGTCGAAATATTGACCCAACTGCAGCTTAACCCTAATCTGCTCCTCTTTTTCATGTGCTTGGTCACATATTTGCAATCTTTGCCTCTGTTCACGGCAGGGACACAAACCCATTGCCTCCCTCCTTAGAAAGTTCGAATCTGGTGGTTCTGGAAGTGGCAATGGATGAGCCACCTCCTCCGATGGCAGTACGATTTTCGGCATGTGCGCATTCCTCATATGCTTTCCTTCCCCTTTGTCTTTCATATGAAGATGCATCTCAATTTCAATTGCCTCTTCCACGATTATGTGCTTCTTCTCTTCGATTGTCTTTTTCTTAGCCAACTCTTCCTTCCTCTCCTTTTGATTTTCAATTGCAGCTATGTCTTTCTCTCCCTCATGCTTTATCCTTGTTGAGGTTTCTTTCTCCTCCCTTCCTTCTATGGCTTTTTGATTTTTCAACAAAGATTCTGTTTGTAAATTTACTTACAATTTTTGGAATCGATGATTCTCAATCTTCATATGGTTTTTTGACCATCGACTTCTTAACCATAGGTTGCTTCATTATGGTTTCATTTTTTTGATTTTCTTCTATTGTCTTTGTTTTTGCTTTTTGAATCTCTAATTCTACATCATCATCTAACAAATAAATTTCAAGTAGATACTTACTTACAAATACTTTGGTAAATTTCCACAAGTTCGCATTTGGATTTAGACGATTCCAATGCCTATACCACCAGAGTGCACATCCTCTAAGCCCATTCACAGTTTCTGTCAATTGTTTATCTTCTTCATTTATTCTTTTTTCTTGAAAATGTTGTTCCACAACAATTAGCCATCCCCAAGCGTCTTTCCTTTGCCATTTAATTTTTGAACCATTGTATCAGTATTGTTCAAAGCTACCCGAATCGGATAGCTCTGATATCAATTGATAGGATTCAGCAAAATATCATAGTAAAACACAACTAAACACCAACAAATGGCGTAGAGAACTGGATTTTCTTTGATATATCAATAAGGGAAAGTACAAATTAAAGAGACAATTCAGAAGTAATGGAAGAAGAAAGGAAAAATACAAGAAAAGCTAAAATGTTTTCTAGAGCAATTCGAGAGGCTCCAAAATTTTCTCCCAATCTGGTTTCATAGCCCTAATGTGTCCAAATTCCCAATGCCCCTTTACATGAGCCTTACCCCTAATATATAACAAACTCTCCTAACAGACTTGTACAACGTTCTCACCTAGTCCACATTAGCACCAACTCTCTACTTCTAACAAGCTTATTATCTAGAATATTCTTTTCAATAGCTGAGTCAACAGATAGGGGTTGTATCATATTACAATAACAATCAGCCAAGTAGGCAATTATATGCTGTCTACAGGAGCCCTTGCTACCTAGCCAACAATTGATAAGATGCAATACCATCTACCGGCACTGACTCTAAATGGAGATGGGTTTTTTCATCAGTTACTTCCTACTCTTACGCAGTCCATAAAGGCTTCCAAATCCAAATTCCTCACGCTTAATATGCAACAGTTCCCACAGCAGACCTTTTTTGGTTCTGTTGCGAAATCGGCAACCGTTCGTTTCAAGTAATAAAGTGATAAGTAAATATCGTTCCCTCGAGGATTAATGCACCGAATATTAAATTAAATATTCCCCTTGTATTGGAAGAAAAGAATTCAATTTGATTGTGAAAATATTTTGTGATTGTAATTTAAAAACAGAAATTTAAAAACAATAATATTTAAAAGCATGCAAAAATTAATCAAGAATGTCAAGAAAATATGAGTTATGAAAAATTGTAAAAGAACTGTAGCCAGGATTCACTTCACATCCGATCCTCCCTTACATTCCTAAATTGTATTTTATAACTAACTAGTTTATTAGTTCAGACAATTCATTATTTCCCTATTAAATAATTGAACCCTAATGTCTTAGTGATTTCAACCCGTTAACCCAATTAGAATCGTAGTGTCCTAGTAATTTCTCTTGAATTAAGCATTAAGCAAATGAATTAAAAGTCTGCAATCTATGTAAGCCTATTTCTAGGTCATGCACGAATTGTTATTCTACCCTTGTCCAGATTAAAACCCCAATATGTCTATTGTGAGCCCTAACCCTCAAAACCCTATAATAGAGCGATCAATTCTATCAAGGATATAGAAGAATTAACACAGGTAGAATAAAGCTACATAAATTACATTAATTATAAAAACAATATAGAATATATAAAGGATTCACATTGGGTCCGTGATCCCAACTACAAAAAGAAAATTAGCCAGACATATTTGGCTTTAACAATTCAAAATAGTAAAAAGAATTCATAACAAAGAAAGAAAAGAAAAAGATGAAGAAGAAAAATCAATGGTCTTCAATCTTCAAGTTCTCCGGAATCCTGATCTCCAGCATGAGTCTCCTCCTCTGAATATTGTTGCCTCGTCGAATTGTCTTTGAGTTTCCAAGAGATGCCTTTTTATAGGGATGAAAACCATATCTTTTAATTTTCCATCATATCTTTAATGGAATCTTCACTAGAATCTCTAATCATATCTTTGATCCAATCTTTCAAATCTTTCCCTTTTTATTTAATGGAAAACTTTCCTTAAAAATATTCAAACGAAGATTTGATAAGATCTTGAATGATTTAGAAATCCAAAGCAACTCTATTTGATCTCTTCAATTTATCTCTTTATTGAGCTGAAATTTACTGCAAAATATAAGAAATCTTCTGAGAATATTATTGAGAATAAAATAACAATTTAATTATAATTCTCATAACTTTTAATCACTTTTAAATCAATTTCATGCTCATATTAACACTTAATACATAGTAAATTGGAGACTCATGAGATTCCTATCATGCACGATTGTGTGGATGCTAGTTGCCATCACTGAACACTGAAAACCTGAAGCCTTGCTTCAAGGAGAGTGGATTAAAGGTTTGCTACCTCAAAACAGTGTTCCTTCTGATTTCACTGTGCTAAGGATCTGAGAGCTTGCAGAAGGAACCTGCTTGAAGAATAATGAGTATAGTAGAAGTGGGGAATTTTATGATGAAAAAAGAATAAATGTGGACCCTTGAATTTAAGTTTGTAATATAAACAGCAATAATGGATTTGAAACAGAACCAAATTTGCATTACATGAATCAATTATATGAATTGTTCTTCAATCCAACCATTACAGTCTTACAATACTTCAGAAAATACCGAACGTAATGACAAAATAACTAGTCTCAGCAATTACACAAGCAAGAAATAATAACAGATAGTGTGAAGCACATTGAGAGGCTTCACTCTCTCCCAATTCCCACAAGGGACCCAAGGTAACCAATTCTCCAGCTCCCTTGTCTCTCCTCTCTCCTCTCTCCTCATCTTTTATCCTTCTCCGCGTAACGAACTCTCTCTCCCATCCCCTTCCACGTTGGTAGTCTGTTGGAGGGCAGTATAGGCATAGTGGACAGCATGGCTCACATCTGCCACTGAATTGCCACTCAGCATGTCTCCCATTGGGCTATTTAGATTATCCATTGGGCTGTTCTGCTTGTTGAGGCCCCAAACCTTCCTATGCTTGTTCCTTTGATAAACCTGTAGAGGCAATGTATCAATACTCCCTCCCAAATTAAGCACCTTGTCCTCATGGTGGAACTGAGGGAATTGACGTTTGATCACAGATAAGTCTTCCCAAGTGTTTTCGAAATCCGGGAGATTATGCCATTTAATCAACACCTCCAGCGTATTATTCTGGGAACGTCTCCATTGCACCACATCAGCAGGCTCGACCTTTAATTCCCACTCCTCAGACAAGCACTTAGGCAGCTGTTGGACATTTGGTACAGCAAAAGCCGCGGGTTTTAGCAAAGAAATGTGAAACACAGGATGGACCCTGCAATCAGCAGGCAGCTGCAACTTGTATGCCACCTCCCCAATGCGTTGGATGACCTTGAAAGGACCATAGAATCTAGGACTTCGTTTTTCGTTCAACCTCTTAGCAAGAGATTTTAACCGGTACGGTTGCAGCTTCAAATACACTAGATCTCCTTCTGCAAATTGCAAATCGCGTCTTTTTTTATTTGCTTGCTTAACCATCCGGTTTTGGGCCTTGGTAAAATTTTGCTTCAACTCTTGTAACATATTATCCCTTTCAACCAAAACCTGAGAGACCTCATCAATAGGAGACACAAACTGGTGAGCTTTGAGTAAAGAAGGGGGATCCATACCATACAGAACCTTGAAGGGTGTTAACCCCGTAGAATCCTTATAGGTTGTGTTATACCAATATTCAGCCTAAGCGATCCATTTGGGCCATTGTCTAGGCTTGGGACCACACATACACCTTAAGTAAACCTCAAGGCACCTATCGACCACCTATGTTTGTCCATTTGCTTGTGGATGATAGGATGTGGTGTAATGTAATTTTGTGCCAGCACATTTAAAAATCTCAGACCAAAAAGAGCTCATAAATAACCTGTCTCGGTCAGAAACAATTGTGAGAGGAAAACCATGCAATCTTACCACTTCGTTGATGAAAACAGCTGCTACTTCTTTTGCTGAATAAGGGTGGGCAAGTGTTAGAAAATGGGCATATTTAGAGAACCGGTCCACCACCACAAAGATGGTGTCTACCCCTAAAGCCTTAGGTAACCCTCCTATGAAATCCATAGAGATATCTGCCCATACCTTGCTAGGAATAGGTAACGGTTGCAACAAGCCTGCGGGTGATAAATTCTGAGATTTGCTTTGGTGACAGATGACACAAGCTGCCACAAAATCCTTGATGCATTTCCTCGTACCCTCCCAATAAACCAAACCAGCCAAACGTTTGTAAGTGCGAACGAACCCGGAATGGCCTCCTATCCTTGAGTTATGGAACTCCTCAAGAAGTGGGGAAATGAAGCTGGACGTGCTAGGGAGCACCAACCTGTCCTTATAGAATAAACGCCCCCCTAATAGTTTAAAACCTTCATGGGCATCCGGTTGCAGCATTAAGTCTGGGATCAAGGACCGTAGCTTGTCATCATGCTGAACCTCCTGATCCAAAAGCTCCAAATCTGGCCATTGCAACTGTGACAAACTAGCAAATTGCATCTGGCGAGAGAGGGCATCGGCTACAAGATTCTCCTTACCGGGTTGATATAAAATTTCAAAATCAAACCCAATTAACTTACACAGCCACTTTTGCTGATCTTCGCCTAGTGCCCTTTGGTCAAGTAAATGTTTCAAGCTTTTTTGATCGGTCTTTACAATGAAATGTTTGCCCATAAGGTAATGCTTCCACTTCTGAACGGCGAACACAATAGCCATTAACTCCTTCTCGTACACAGATTTGTTCATGGCTCTTTGAGAAAATCCCTGGCTGATATAGGCTAGAGGCTGTTTGTCTTGCATCAAGACAGCCCCCACCCCTCTTCCCGAAGCATCTGTACAAACCATAAAAGGTTTCTGAAAATCTGGTAGAGCTAAGACTGGAACAGAGCACATTTTCTGTTTCAGCAAATTGAACACCTCTTCAGTCTCAGCATCCCATTTAAAGCAGTCTTTTTTCAGTAGGTTAGTCAACGGTTTGGCCAGCATGCCGTAGTCCTTGACAAACCGTCTATAATAGCCTGTCAACCCCAAGAAACCCCATAACCCCTTGATATTCTTGGGAACTGGCCAATCCACCATAGCATGGAGTTTATCTGGGTCAGCTCTAATGCCATCAGCTGCTATGATGTGTCCCAAGTACTCCACGTGTGTGCTACCAAAACAACATTTTTTTTTGTTCACAATCAACTGATTCTGTCTCAATACGACAAAGACCTCCCGCAAATGCAACTCATGTTCCTCCTTGCTCTTACTGTAGATCATTATATCATCTAAAAATACTAGCACAAATTTTCGTAAAAACCCTCTCAAGATCTTATTCATGAGGGCTTGAAAAGTGGAAGGGGCATTAGTCAGCCCAAATGGCATGACGAGGTATTCGTAATGCCCCTCATGTGTGCGGAAAGCAGTCTTTGGTATGTCTTCCTCCCTCATTCGTATCTGGTGATAACCGGACTTGAGGTCTAGCTTAGAAAAAATTTGTGAGCCACCTAACTCATCCAATAACTCTTCTACCACTGGAATTGGGAATTTGTCTGGCACGGTGAATTTGTTGAGTGCTCTGTAGTCGACACAAACCCGCCAACTACCATCCTTCTTCCTTACCAAAATCACGGGACTGGAATAGGGACTATGACTGTGACGTATCCAGCCAAAAGACAATAACTCAGCAACTAACTTCTCAATTTCAGTTTTTTGGTAATAGGGGTACCTGAATGGCCTGAGGTTTGGCACTTGGCTTCCTGGTTGCAAAATGATGGCATGATCGCATGCACGTTTCGGAGGCAGTGACCCTGTAGCCTGAAATAGATCTTGAAATTCCTTGATCAAATTTTCTAAGCCTTCCCACCAGTCTCCTTCTTCTGTTTTTTTATTTCCATCTGAGCTCACGAAATAGCCCTCTCCTTGATCATGCAATGCCTTCACCATGGATTTGAGAGAAGCTTCTGTTCTAGACAACGAACTATCCCCTTTAATCAGAACCTCCGTGTTGCCCTGCTCGAACCGAAGTGTCAACTCCTTGAAATTTGCCCTTATCTCCCCTAGTTGTGTCAACCATTCCAATCCAAGCACCACATCCGCTCCCCTTAACTCAAACAGATACAAATCTTGCTTAATCTGAGCAGCTTGCACCGTGAGTTCCACTCCTCTGCACACTCCTTGACATTTTACCTTGTGGCCATCTCCCACCACCACGTTGTACAACGATGTCTCGGTTACTGGTAATGCTAACTTTTCCACCAGAGTTTTGCTTACGAAGTTGCTTGAAGCTCCACAATCCACCATCACAATCACCCTTTGTCCTGCCACCTCCCCCCAAGCCTTCAAGCTTTGGTTCGAAGTGAGCCCCAAGAGACAATTGAAAGACAGTTGCATCTCCTTATGCTCCCTAGCCACGTCTTCTTCCTCCCCAACCGTCACCGTCCCAGCAGCAGTCCCTCCTTCAGCCTCCTCGTCATCCTCATCTACTAATAGCAGATGGAGTTGTGGTATGGAGCATTTGTGGCCTGGCCTCCAACGCTCCTCGCACTTAAAACAAAGGCCCTTCTGGTGGCGGTCACGCCATTCTGCCTGAGAAAGACGACGGCCGCGGCTCAGGTGGCTTTCGTTCGTCTGATTTACAGGGGTAGAAGACGAACCCTTTGATGGTGATCCCCCTTTTGCGTTCTCCATCAGCGCCGATTGGGACGTAGGGTTGCTTATCGTGGAATGAGCATTGACGTTGACTTGGCCACTTTTGTTTGGACCGTTTGGGTGAGAAACACTTGGGCCATCCCTTCTAAGTTCATTTGGGCCATTGTTCACTCTCGGGCCCAAGTTTGTGCGTCCCCCACTCTGAGCCCATCCTCTTCCCGGTGGCCAGACTCCTTCTTCTTCCCACGCCAGATTCCTCTTCTCAATCTTCATAGAATACTTCATCAAGTCAGCCAAATTCAACGTAGGAACCATCAACAATTCCTCCCTAATGCTGTTACGCACCCCGTTTAGCCAAGCCCCCTTAAGAAGGTCCTCGTCTTCAAACCATAAGACCCCCACCACCTTTTCGAATTCCGCTCGGAACTCCGCTAGGCTTCCCCACTGCTTCAGCGTGTACAAAGCACGGTAGGGATTGTCTAATGCTTCTGGCTGGAAACGGCTCAACAACTCGCGTCTAAAACGTAGCCAAGGAGCATTTGGGTTCACACCCTCCCACCAATGGAACCAGTTGAGGGCTTCCCCTTCTAGGACCAACATCACTGCGCTCACCTTCTCCGCCTCCGTCACTCCATTGATCGTGAAGTATCTCTCCACTTTGTTGACCCAACCAAAAGCATCCTCACCGGAGAAAATCGGAACCTCCAATCGTCTGGTAATGGGAAAATGATTTCCTCCCCTTCTCCGATTACCGTCGCCATTCGAATCAAGTTCATGCTCTTCGAGGTTATTATCTCCGTCTCCCGAACGGCTTCGTCTGTCCATTGCCATCTCATCCAACCGTCGAATAATCTCAGTAACACCTCTTTCACCGGCATCTAGCCTTAGCAACACTTCTTGGTGTCTCTCTTCGTTGGCATCCAGCCTAAGACAGATCCCTTCATGACGAGCACAACTCCTACGCAGCCCTTCCTCTATCGAATCTAAACGATGTTCCATTTGTCTTGTCTGGATCATTCCACAGAGCTCCTAGATCGGAGCTCTGATACCAGTTGTTAGGTTTGTAATATAAACAGAGATAATGGATTTGAAACAGAACCAAAATTGCATTACATGAATCAATTGTACGAATTGTTCATCAATCAAACCATTCCAGTCTTACAATACTTCAGAAAAATACAGAACGTAATGACAAAATAACTAGTCTCAGCAATCACACAAGCAAGAAATAATAACAGATAGTGTGAAGCACATTGAGAGGCTTCACTCTCTCCCAATTCCCACAAGGGACCCAAGGTAACCAATACTCCAGCTGCCTTGTCTCTCCTCTCTCCTCATCTTTTATCCTTCTCCGCGTAACTAACTCTCTCTCCCATCCCTTTCCACGTTGGTAGTCTGTTGGAGGGCAGTATGGGCATAGTGGACAGCATGGCTCACATCTGCCACTGACTTGCCACTCAGCATGTCTCCCATTGGGCTATTCAGATTATCCATTGGGCTGTTCTGCTTGTTGAGGCCCCAAACCTTCCTTTGCTTGTTCCTTTGATAAACCTGTAGAGGAAATGTATCAGATTCTTATCCTATCCAGGGTGCCAAATGAGGCCTTGAAGTGGTTTTGATATCTACGTATGTATAGGTAAAACAAATTTCTTCCTTTTATTTCTCTTTGCCAGTAATTTTGTGTAAGTGTTTGATACGAAGCATATATTTTTATACTGAAGCCTAATCACCAGTTGCTTATCAAGTTATTGTGTCCTCATTTTGTTACCTAACTAGTCATGATTAGACATTAATTTGTGAACATTTTAGATTTTTCATTCATGGCTCAACTCATCCCATAATTGTCTCCTATTCTGGGTTATGTGAAACGACTTTACAAGATTTATTTGTTGTCTAATATGGATATTATCAACGGATGAACTTGCTTTATTTAATCTTTTTTTTAAGGGGATGAGAAATATATCAGACTGTTGTCAGGGTTTATCTTTCGCGTAGGCTAATGGCAGATTCGTTGTCTTCTTGCATGTACACAATTCTCTTTTAGAAAGTCTTTAGAGTTGGATGAGCTTTCAAAAAAAGGACTTTCTATGGTTTGCTTTTTAAAATGACTTTTTTTAAAAGTTGAAGCTATTTTATGTTTGGATGAAATACATAAAAAATACTTTCAAATAAAATAGTTATTTGGATGTTAAAATTATTAGCCATTTTTTGTATATAAAATTACTAAAAAGGACATGTGATGGTAGTGGTGGTATAGTGGTAGTGGGGTGGAGTAGTTGGATGGGGTTAGGATAAAATTGAATTTTTAAAATATTATTTGACTATTTTCTTCTGCTTTTTTCATAAGCAAGGACTTCTGCCTTCTAAAAAAACATTATTTTAACTTTTTTTTTTTTAAATTCTGTTTTTTTAAAAAGTTGCTATCCAAATGCACAAAAAGACTCAAAATGAACTTTTTTAAGAAAAAAAGCAACTTTTTTTAGAAAAAAAAAAAAGCTCATCCAAACTCCCAGTTTGTTAGTCGAGAAATCCTCTGCTAAAATTTTAATTTTTTAGTTGTCCTTAATCTGTTCTGTTGTTGATAAAGCGTCCTGTTAGACCCATGAGTACAATGAGGATAGGATGGGTAATATTGAGAATATTCGTGCTAATGGGCTGCAGCATGACCAACTACTGATGTGGCAGTGAGTGGAAGAGGAGATGTTTGGGGTATTCAGTTAGAGGAATCAAAATATATAGGAGAGCGAGAGAAAGAGAGAAGCTGGCAGAAATTCTGGTGGGTAGGCCTCTTCTTAGGCTGGAGGCTCAATCTTGGATTGGGTCCTTTCTTCTTCTTTTTTATTCCAAGAAATTCCAGAATTCATCTCTGGTGTAAGGAGCCAGTCTCCATTTTCCTTATCACTAAAACCAGTTCCTAAAGTATGCTTACCTGCTTCAGAAGATTAAATTCATTTTTTTAATATATGTCATCTATTAACCGGTTTTCCTGCTCTCTAAAACTCCCTTTCTTTTGTTTTAATGAAGGTGTCTAGACAGAGCAGCTGTCGTGTCCGATGCAGAGAGCAAAAGTGGTGACTATTCTAACCCCTGGAGACTTTGCACTGTGACACAGGTGGAGGAACTGAAAATCTTGATCCGCATGTTTCCAATTTGGGCTACTGGCATAATTTTTTCTGCTGTTTATGCCCAGATGTCAACATTGTTTGTGGAACAAGGAACGATGATGGACACAAGTATTGGTTCCTTCAACATTCCTCCAGCTTCCCTCTCAAGTTTTGATGTGATAAGTGTTATTTTCTGGGTCCCTGTCTACGACAGAATTATTGTTCCCATTGCAAGGAAATTTACCGGCAAAGAAAGGGGCTTTTCAGAGTTGCAAAGAATGGGAATTGGCCTTTTTATTTCAGTCCTGTGCATGTCAGCAGCTGCTGTTGTGGAGATTAGGCGTCTGCAGCTTGCAAAAGAGCTTGACCTTGTTGATAAACCTGTCCCTATACCCCTTAGTATATTTTGGCAAATCCCTCAGTATTTCTTATTGGGGGCAGCAGAAGTTTTCACATTTGTGGGGCAGCTTGAGTTCTTCTATGACCAATCTCCTGATGCTATGCGGAGTTTATGCAGTGCTTTGTCACTTCTGACTACTTCATTGGGGAATTACTTGAGCTCTTTCATTCTTACTATCGTAACTTACTTCACTACACAAGGTGGAAATCCTGGATGGATTCCAGATAACTTGAACAAAGGTCATCTTGATTACTTTTTCTGGCTTTTAGCTGGACTTAGCTTCTTAAATATGTTGTTGTACATAGTTGCTGCCAAAAGGTACAAGCAGAAGAAGGCTTCTTAAGATTTTTCAGCCATTTATTAGGAGTGGAAGCACGTTCTGATATTTCCTTGTGTCATTATTATCGTGATTGTTCTGTATGTGAAATAAAGATGTTCTGCAATTATGTACCCTTCTTCCACTTGCAAAGTAAAATTGTGTTATATTTAGTTCAAAACACCACCGACCCCAATGTTTGGGATAAAGGTGTTGTTGTTGTTGATGATGATGATTTAGTTCAAAACAGACCTTGCTCCCTTCTCATGAAACCTGAAAGGGATGTTTGAGATTGCTTGCTATCTCCATTTAGGTTAATTCACCGCAGTTACTGTTCATTTTCTCTACATTGCAGCAGTTACATTTGTAACTTATGCTGTGGAAAAGGTTATATATCCCTTTTATGTGCTATATCATTTATGATCACGTCAGAAATTATCAAACATATACACTGATGAAGTGATGATATAAGTAAGGTTAATAATAATGGATAACAATAAATTTGGCGTGTATCCGGCGTTGATACTGGCGACTTCTGTAAGTATAAAAAATAATAAGTAAATACTTGTATAATTTGGGGAGAATCTTTTGACTTCTGGTAAGGATAATGAACTGTTTACGATGTATTTGGCTATGTTGGCTCTATATTTTAGAAGCGTAACAGCTTATGAATATGAAAAAAATAGACCTCTTTTAATGGGAGAAAGGGGATATTTCGAGAGGAGAGAAGACTCTCCAAGCATAGAAGAGAGAAAAGAGAAGTGTGGGGGGGGGACAGAGCTGTAGCCACCTGTAGCCTGGCCCTGTCCTTAGGGCAAGACACCTTGTAATCATTGTCAGTGCACAATGGTTGTTGTGCAGGGAAAAAGAGGATTATTTGTGATAAGACTCTATGGTTTAATATAGAGTGTCATCTAGAAAGTTCTAGATGTGGATTACTAAAGAGGCCAGCCAGAATATATAAGTAGTGTTATTTTTCATTTCAATTGTTGATCTCTATATCTGTGTTGCAGTGCCATCGCCCTAACGAAAGTTATATCAGGATTCGAACTCGAGATTACGGATTAAGTTGAAACAACTCCTTACCACGGATAAGTTGAAAATGTAAGTTCTAAATATATTCTAGTGATTTAATCATGCTCATATACATTAGAAGCAATTAGATCAAGTGCAAAAAAATTAAGATCTTAAATACCTCCTATTATTGCTTTCCTTATATGCTCTAAATGGTTGTTGTAATTGAAGCGAAGTTCTTCTTTAAACCTTCCAAGCTCTTCTCTACAGCCTAGATGGTGTGTAGCTCTTATCGTAGAGTGAGCTTAGGGACTCAAGAAGTTGAAGCTACACTTGTTTTATAAACCCTTACCATCAAGGTACCAATAATGGTGTGTATAATGAATAGTCCTTGATGGAGACCAGAACCAAAAAAATGGTTGATGATTGCAGATCGAAACCAAGAGTAGGTGAACCACTAATCCACTACAAGTAGTAGACAATGCACTAAGTGAAATAGGTGGACCACACATAAGGCCCACACCAACATTTTCCCACTTGGTCCACATATCCCATCATATACTATAGCGAGAAACACAATACATAAATCATGGCGATAGGTCCTCTAATTTGTGCGATTATTATCTTCCAACATTCTCCCACTTGGTCCACATATCCCATCATATTCTTGGGTCAAGCTTATTTTCTTGTGGGTTATAGATTCTTACTTTAGACGGGAATCCCCAAATGCGTACATGTCGCAAACTCGGCTTCCAACCTTTAAATAACTCAAATGGTGTCTTCGGGACAACCTTAGTTGGAACACGGTTTAATATGTACACAACCATCTTAAGTGATTCAATCCACAAGGACTTCCGAAGCTTAAAGATACTGAGCATACTTCACCCCATATCTATTAATGTTTGGTTTCTTCTTTATGATACAACATTCTGATTTGGAGAACCAAGCATGGTGTATTGGGCAACTATCCCATGTTCTTCAAGAAACTTCGCAAACGGACCATACGCTTGTCCATCTTCAGTGTATCTATCATAATATTCTCAACCTCTATCTGATCTCACGATCGTAATTTGCTTGTTGCATTGTTTCTCTACTTCCAATTTAAACACCTTAAAGGCAACTAATGCTTTATGCTTATTATTAAGCATGTAGAGATACATGTATCGTGAATAATCATATATGAAAGAGATAAAGTATTTCTGACCATATGCATCCATGTATGGACAACAAATATTAGTATGTTTGATTTCTAATAATTTAGTACTCCTGTTGGCACCCCTTTTGGACTTATTTGTTTGCTTTCCCTTAATGCAATCTACACAAGTTTCAAAATCATCAAAATCTAAAGTACTAAGTACTCCATCATTTTACTAATCTCTTAATTCTTTGAATGGAGATATGTCTCAATCTCTGATGCCATAACATAGAGGAATCTTCATTCATAACACATTGTTTCATGCCAAAGTTAACATACATAGCATCATGAGTGGTGTCATTTTGTAAATTAATATAGAAAAGATCATCAGACAATACAACATTCCCAACAACCTTAGATTTATAAAATAAATTGAAAGATGTTTCATAAAAAGAATATCCACAAGATACATGTCTCGAAACTGAAATTAAGTTCTTAGAAAAACTAGGAACATAAAAAGCCTTTTCCAAATTCAAAACAAAATCACTACTTTAATCAAATTGCAGGTCTCAATGGCCTCCACAGTTGAAGTCATTTTGCTTCCTGAATAGATGCACAGTTCACTTTCCTATCTATATAGATGCACAATTCACTTTAATCAAACATTCATATTAATTATCTAAATATTACATGTATAGAGTGACATGAATTAATACACATAATAACAGATTAATAATAATCATGTGAATATATATATATATATATATATATATATATATATATATATATATATATATATATAGGGGCAGGATATTCTTACACCGGTGTAAGAGTTAGAAGTCTTACACTCAATCTTGACCATTGATCTACTTGTATTCAATGGCTCACATTACTAAAAATTTAGAGCCCTTAGATATAAGTGGGATCAACGGACAAGATTAAGAGTGTAACTTATACTGGTGTAAAATGATCCTGACCCATATATATATATATATATGAAATTATTATAAATTCAATTGGTAAAAAGGATTACCTATCCATATAGATGGTCATGGATTTAATTCTCATCTTATACAACTTTTTTGATTTATTTGAATTCTAAATCCAAGGCCCAATCATATATCTAATAAATAGAATTTTAGAATAAATATAAGCCCAATCCGGTCTAATAAAAACAGGGGCCCAAATGAAAACAATAATCTACTAAATTCACAAAGACAGTAATACTAATATCATTTAGATTTCTCACGCTAGCTAATACCACAGAACAGTGAAATCATTTAATCATTTAACGCCAATATAGCTAACAATAAAGCCATGCCATGAAACATTATTATTCACTATATCAAAAAAATTTCAAAATAATGAAAAAATATGAAACGTGGAACCTACACTTGAAACAAAAGTGAGACCACGTGAAACTGAAAACAAAACACAGTCGTCTGATGTCTCCACTCTCCAATAATATTAAATTGTTTGTCAGCAAAAGCATATTTCTCGAAAACTAAAATAAAAGCAAAACTGATATTTCAATACACGATTAATCAATAACAATTAACAGCGGCCTCTGTGTATACAGTGTCATCTTTCAATAAACGAAAAGGCATGTTTCACTAATAAAATATCGTCTTCGACCTTTCACCACATCAACAGAAACAACTCCTTGCTTGTTGTTCCACGTGTTCATGTCCATTAATATCTATTAATTATAATAATAATATAAGCATTAACTAGTTGAAATAATTAAAATTACGTGGAAACAAGCTAAGATAACGTGTGTGCGGTTGTTCGGTTGTTCCTCTTTTTATTATTTTGAGTTTCAAATAACAAACTGAACTTTCGGTTGTTAACTTAATGGATAACAGATTAGTTAAGACTAAAGACCAATGAGTACAACACACGTAAACCATTACATACATATTTTATCATATTGTCAAGGACATTATTCTATGTGTGGATTTTCACGCATTCCAAAAATATCTGAATATTCTTAAAAAATTGCATTATTTTCTTACTCTTCGCTCGAGTTGGAGAGAGAGAGAGAGAGATATGGGTTCTATGAACGATGATGCACCGCTTGTGGAAGAGGATCTTCTTCAGGTTCCCTTCACTCCATTTTTCATTCTCTTAATGAAACATTATATCTTCTTGTGATGCTGGTTACTTGTATACAAGAGTACAAGACATGACATAAACGTATTCATAATAACGAAATTCAACTGTGTTTGACTTGACCCAAAAATTCTAACATCTCGTTTTATACCAACATAATTAAGGACTAATACCAAACTGGTTACGTTTTATGATATGTAGTTTGCTAGCATCCCCAAATCATAATTGTTTGCATATTTTTAAAAATAGAAATAAGTGGAAGATGAATTCGTGAAGGATACTTCTTCAACTCTGATAATGAAGAGATAAATTGGACTGTGAGAGGGATCAATTCAAGCTATTCTTGGAAAAAGTTAATATAGAATGATTCTGTGTATGGTTTCATGTAAATGATTGCTATGCCTTTCACTTTACTCTTTGGCCTTTGATTTTAAGGCTAACATTACAATATATTATCCAGTCAATTGTCCAGAACTCTGTTTTTAATGTCAATCTGTGAGGTTTACTTTGTGATTTTCTCATATTTGCCTTATTGTCAGCAAAACAAAATTGCCCCTTTTATCAAAATTAGAGCAAAAACAAAAGAAGGAAATGTTTCCGATTCTTATTGCCTTTTTTTGTTTCTTCCACGTTTGAACCCTTAGGGAAAAAATAAAAATAAAAAGGGAAAAGTGGTGTTTTGCTATGTGATATGATTGTTTATTTTTTTCTAAAGGATGAAGGGAGCGAACAATACACAGGAGATGGCTCGGTTGACTTCAGAGGCAGGCCTGTTCTTAAGCAGAATACGGGAAATTGGAGAGCTTGTCCCTTTATCCTGGGTATGTTTTTACATTGTTCTCATATATTAGTTAATCCATTTTTGTTTATATCATTTTTATGCATACGAATCACAGGAAATGAATGTTGTGAACGTTTGGCTTTCTTCGGCATTGCAACAAATCTTGTTACCTATCTTACCACCAAGCTACATGAAGGAAATGTCTCTGCTGCAAGAAATATCAGCATTTGGCAAGGCACTTGTTATCTTACACCTCTCATTGGAGCTGTTCTAGCAGATGGTTAC